AACAACAGCAACAACAACAATAACAGCCGTAAAAAAAACGAAACAATAATTAGTACTGTATAGTAAGGTAAAATCGTGCGAGTGCTTTCAAACAGCTGTGAACAGCAGTTGAATTGAAATGAATGCGACAATCTTGCTGATTGTAAGCTATCCTCATACCAATACACTCAATACGTCGCTACATGAACAAGCGCTGATGTCTTTGTGTCGAAAACATGCAATTGCACACACACAGCGCGATCTCCAACTTGCTCGAATCGCATTGCACGAGCTTATGGTAATTGCCTTCTTAGTGAATGCAATTATGACTTAACAGTGAGGATCATAATTTCATTCCAGTTCGACACGCACGGAGGAAATATGTAATACACGCACACACGCACACACAAATATGCACGTACACACACCACACACACGCACTCACATACAATGTTATAAATTTTGACAACACTAACATATAAATTAACTACGATTTAAATCTTTATAAATAATGCTCTTCTGCAAATCCATGTTAGTATTAAGGAACAAAATAAAAAAAAACACTTCCTCTCATTAAGGCAATGAGAGTTAACCAATCCTAATATCCAGTGTTATGTTCATAACAACATTCGCAGATCGGTCTGTAGTATTGAACTTAAAACTCCAGACTTGCATGGTGCTATTTACATTTTAAACGTATAGGATATGCACTTTATTCAACAACAATAATTAAAATATTTAATAAATAATTCATTATAATAATAATAATAATAATATTTATCACAATATTAAAAATTATGATAAAATTTAAATACATACTGCGTACATACAAAACTACCATAAGTCTTTTTAGCTACAACGCTATACCTACAATAACAATTGTATGTATGTGTGTGTGTGTGTGTGTGTGTCTGTGTGTCTGTGTGTGTGTCTGTGTATGAGAGTTTATGAATAAAACTTAGAGTTTAAAAATTCTAACGAATGAAAAGACAAGGATGATGAATGTGAATAAGCGAACTAATAAACGGACGCATATATATATATATATATATATATATATATATACATATATATATATATACATGTAGAACTTCAAACATGCGTTGTATGTTTTATTATTTTATGTTGTTTGTATTATCAATAAATTGAAGTGGAAGATAAGCTAAAACATAATAGGACTGAATAATTTGCAATAGCGCAAGTCATGGAAGATGAAACAACTTCGAGAAGAGTCGATGGAGCCGATGGAGAAGATAGACTTAATGGTGGCAATGGCAGAAGAGGCTGGAAGATTTTGTTCCTGGTAATGGCGGGCAGTGGAATGATTGGAGCGGTCGTCTGCACCATTCTGGTAGCCTCCGTCTTGGCTGCAGCAGGTTCTTCATCATAATTATAATAAGGAAACAACAACAATTACTTTGACATCAACAAGTTTTTTTCTGAATATTTAATTTTTTATGATTTATTTAATTTTCATAGTCTCAACAGCTACTACAACAGCTACAACCACTACTACAACAGCAACAATCTCTACTACAACTGCTACAACCACTACTACAACAGCTTCAACCACTACTATGGCTTTAACTACGGTCACAACCACCAACCAAGCAACAACAGGTATGCTCATTTACAATGATTTTCAAATTCTAAAAATTGTTTTGCAGATAAATTAAACAAAATATTACATGGAAAAAATTGGTAAAAGTTTTAATAAACCTTAAAAAGATTTTGTTCTTTTGCAAGCATGGCAGTTTCATGTTCCCGCTCTTATATCTGCATGTTTTTAATTTCATCATGACGTGATCGGCGATGGGTAAAGTTAACTGAAAAACGTTATAAACTTTTGAACGGTTCCGAAAACTTTAACTTATATCGTTATTTAAATAAAGCTATGTTTTTTGTTCGTTCGTACGTTTGTTTATCCGCTCGTTTGTCTGTTTGATTGTTTGCTTGGTTGATTTTTGGTTGGTTGGTTAGCTGGATGATTGGTTTGTTGATTGGTTGGTCTTGCATTACTGTAACCAACATGGTTGAAAGTTGCTTGGTGTGCCATTTTTATCATTGTTGCGGAAAAAGCTGTGTGTGTGTGTCTGTGTGTGTGTGTTTGTGTGTGTGTGTATGTGTGTGTGTGTCTGTGTGTGTGTATTTTCAATACATATTATTCAGTCTCACGCATATTTATTTTTATAGTTCAATATTACTCAAAAACACACCCTAGCTTGTGTAAGTGGTGTACGTGATGCTACCTCGGAATATGTACTAGCAGAACCTCCTAATCCCGGACGAGTTACAACAAATGGACGCATCACTTTCTTGTGGGACCCTAATAGATCACGAGATTTGTTTTGTATTAATGCTTTTTACTCTTTGAAATTCTCGTTTCAGTCAGCACTAGTGCACCAGTTGATCAGATTCAGCCTGAGTATGGAAAATGTGGCTAGATACTGTGTCGTTGCAAAAAACTCTAATGATGTTTCCACTTACAACTCTATGAATCCGGCTGTTCCTCTCATTAACAACCAGGTTGGACGAAAATTGATGAGCTATTTAAATTAGGGAAGCACCGAATTCCGGCCCCTGCTCTATATATATATACAAAAGCGCATAATTTAAGAACATGGTATGTTAAAGGTATACATGACACATAATAACAACATCACTAATTGTGAAGTGAGCTTGACAGTTTTCTTTATGCTATAACATGGGTTATGCATAAATTATAAGCTGATCTTTGTGTACAGAATTTGGCGTATCACACAGCTTACTCATATATTTGAATTAATTAACTATTTGCTTGCTTTGTGTTATTTTTTGATGTTAAACATGTAGATAATCGTAAATGTGAGTATTTTTTCTAACGTATGTAAAATGGTAACTAAAATCCGGCCCCGGGGCCGGACTTGAAAAACCTAAATCCGGTGCATCCCAAATTTAAACTAATCTCTGTTTCATTATATTTTTTTATGAAAAATTAATTTTGAATGTTAATCATGTCGTAGCGTTAGTGAATAATTAAAAATGTGATAATTTTCAATCGAATAGAGCATACCGGAAGATGTAATCAGCGGTGGGAACTACACGTTTAAATATATAGAATTATCATCCAACCCTTCCAACAATCAGATGAATACTACGTTTGATTTTATTAAAATCGAAGTTTCATGTTAGCTACAGGCAACAATTGTAAACATCAATTTTTAAATTGTAGCAGTGTTTTGGAATAAACTAATTCACCTTTTATTGAACAAAACTAATTTTTTACTTTTGCACATGCTAATCTCGCTAATGAATAACAACATGTGATGGTATGTAAGATTGAGCATGAAGATGATGTTACTATCGTTTTAACCCATTCGATGCCAAATTTTTTTTTTTCAAATATTTTCACATATTATAAATCTTGATATTGTCCAATAAAGGATATAAACAAAAAAAATAGTTTGATAAATGTGTGTAAGAGTATTTTACAAAAAAAAAATTGTTCCATTTTTGGAACATGGCTTGATTTAAGTCATTTCATGGTACTTTCTGAAACAAATTGCTGGATGCATGTTCACTCGACAAATTCCACATCCAAAGGTGCTGTTTCTTTTACAAACACGACATCTGCCTTGTTTAATGTTTTCTGGATAGTGCTGCACACTGAAATTAATTTTTACATTCTGAGGGACACTCCTAACAAGCGATACTTTTTTGGAAGCTGATGCAACTGGTCTACCCAGAACTTGTCGATGAGTGTTCAGCAGCAGATATGATGCCGCTATGTTCCTTATGAAACCCAACAAGTCTAATTTTTGAACATTTTCAACATATAAACTTTCATCGTTTGAAGGTGTCACAAAAGAAATTTCTCTTCGATACAAAATCCAAGCATTGGAGAGTGAAGACGACAACAAGTGAGAAAATACTTGCCACCACCATTTGTTGTTTCGTAACTTTATTCTATGCTCGGATACATTTCTATCCATTTGGTCAGTGCCACCCATGTATGAATTGTACATGCTGATTGCATTTGGCATATCAACCCTAATATGCTTCTTTTCAGCTGCTGACCATCTTTCAGCTGAGCGAGTTGGAGCCACTCCATAACAGTTTGAAGCCATTGTTACTACTGCGTTGTCTATCCATTGCAACAAAATCAGGTTTCTTCTTTCATAATTCACATAAGACTGGACAGACCCTCTGCTGCTTTTCTTGAACTTTGAATCATCCAAAGGACAGTTTTCTATTCGATTGCCACGTATCGTACCAGTGCATCCAAAATTGAGTTCGGACATTCGACGTAAAAGTGGTAATCCAGTAAAAAAGTTGTCTATGTAGAAAGAAAAATTTCTGCCATTGTAGTTAGTTACCAATTTGTCTGCAAAGGTCAAAACAACTGAACCTCCTAGACCATATTCACCATGTGAAAGCAAAGTTCCTTTGCCTTGATATGGCTCAGTGCTGATCAAGTAACCATTTGCAGCATTGAAAGACCAAAATTTAAAACCATAACGAATGGGTTTTCCTACAATTCTTTGCTTGCAACTGTGATGACTATAATAAGGGACCATACTTTCATCTACATCGACATGTTCAACATCAGGAGGAAGCATGAGCAAAAATTTATCATTCAAGTGGCTAATAAGTGGCCTCACTTTAGCAAATTTATCATTAGCTTCTAATTTAGTATTATCAGCAAAATGAATGTTTTTCAGGATTTCCCTAAATCTATTTCTAGACATTGCTTCAGCGATGGCGTGATTTCTGATGTCATTGTCCAGACTCCAGTACATATCTTTCCTTGGCAGAGAACTGTAGCCTGATATCATCAATATTCCAAAAAAACTTTTAACTCGTTTACTTGTACTTCAAATTTACTTGCCACATCACATTGTCTTGCATATATTTCAGACTGAATTTTGATATAATGAAAAAATTCTTCAGACCAAAACATTTCAAATAATTGGCAAGGAGTTTTTCTTTGACCCATGTCAGATGATGTAGCTACTCTACTTTTTTTATTGTTGGATTTCAAATCACTTTTTTTTCCACTTAACAATATGACAATTTGACATTCTAATTTTTTTCTTCTTTGGTTCGAACTCCTGAGTTTCTTTATCTTTCTTCTCCAATTTGCAGACAACATGCTTTTCTGAAACTGGCCCTACAACATTTGAGTTTTCAAGTTCATCGTCACCGTCATCCTGAACTGCAGCTTCAGCTGGCGCTTTTAAAATTTTTCTTGAAAAATGGTCAGCAATATTACTGCCATCCTCCAAGTCAGATTTATCAGAATCACCATCAGAGATCTCTCCAGGTGGCATAATAAACACATCAGCTGCTTGAGAGGGATGAGCTGTGATGGTATCTAATAGCTCATTCAAAGTTGATGCAGAAATGACCTTTTTTGCTTTTGAGCCATAAAATGTCTTTACATTCATTCTGATTCTGAAATTTAATATATTATGTTTATGTAGTTTGATAAAAAAAAGAAACTAATTCAAATTATTTCAAACTATCAATTACAAATCAATTCATTCAACATATATCAAATCCATTTAGTCACAAATAACAATGTTAAAATATATATAATTCAGTGGATGTTTATGTGGCCATGTTCCAAAAATGGAACATCAAGATTTAAGGCAAAAAATCAGATTTTCATAAACCAGACAAATGATATGATGATTTATCCTTAAATAAGAATAATGTAGTAATAAAAATTTGAAAACAAAAATATCCTACCTCTTTTTTTTAAAAAACACAAGCGATTCAAAATTTGTCCTTTTTTAAAAATAAAAATTTAAATTTAAAATGATTGCAAAAAAAAAATTATCAAAAAAACAAAGCAAAACAACGTTTCACCACCTAACAACACATCTAAGTTCCCTTTTTAAAAACAAGATTTACTGTAATACCAATTACCAATAACACATTTTATATTTGTAGCGCATGTTCCATTATTGGAACATGGCATCGAATAGGTTAAGATTAGGATTTATTCCCTAACAGATTTTTATTTTTATTCTATCCTCTTTGTAACCATTGTGGAGGAGCGATAGAGTAGAGTTATTTTACCTCTACACTATCTTTTGTACTTTATGTACAAAAATACACGCATGCTAGAATCAATCATCATCCACATACATAACACAATATTAGCATAACATAACATAACATTGCAGAGATTAAATATATCATTTATATCGCCGTCCATTTTTAATCATCGTTATCACCATCATCATCATCACTACCACCATTATCACCATCATCATCATCACCACCATCATCATCATCATCATCAAAACTCCGCGACAACATCACCAACATAAAGCGCCAGACATTATTGGATACGTTCCTTACTGTTCGTAAACACGCACACGTTTTTTGTCCACACACACGTAACTCTCTCTCTCTCTCTCTCTCTCTCTCTCTCTCTCTCTCTCTCTCTATGTGTGTGTGTGTGTGTGTGTGTGTGTGTGTGTGTGTGTGCGTGTGTGAGTGTGTTTGTACACACGTGTATACAAACAAACAAATACACACACACAAACACAGACATAAAAACACACATACAGACACACAAAGAAATATTCAAACATTCACTCATACAAAAATACATACATACAAAAATGCACACTTACACACACAAACAAACAAACATACAAACAAACATACATGCAAACAAACATACAAACAAACAAACATACAAACGGGCACACCTGCGTAGAAACTTATGCATGTCACACAGAAGTGACACTGGAAATTGCTGCAGCAGCTGATGATGCCGGTCGTAAGATGAGGAGAAGAGGAAGATGATGATGAAGACGATGATGATGGTGACGATGGTGATGATAACGATGATGGTGATGACCATATGATGATGACGACTACATAATAAGAATATTATGATGATGATAATTATGACGATGATGATAATTATGACGATGATGATGATGATAATGGTGGTGATGATGAAGATAAAGGTGATGACGATGTTTATATAGCCATAGCATCACCGTAGATGCGAAACGACGGAAAGTGATGAGGAAAAAACAAAAAAATAACACGAAAACACAAATAAAATCACGCACGTGACTGAAGATACTAATTAAGAAAACGGAAGTGGAAAGATGACGCCGCGGGTGCGATGATGTAGCGCGTGATTTCATCTGGCACGTCGTGTTTTGGCATTGTTGATGGGAATAATAATTGTACGTCACCATCGTCGTCGTCATCATCATCCCAACTTTATAACCAACATTAGCAACACATGTTCTTATAAATAGTTACAGAAGCCACATAACTTACATGCTAGATAATGGCTTCTAAATGAGGAACATGTCTTTGCAAAAGATGTATCAGGTGCCTTTTAAGCCATTAAACCATACCATCTCGCTCAAGCGGTAATCGTGTGTAATCTAATGTGTAATGTTTTTGTAGTGCGTAATGTGTAGTTTGTAATCTGTAATGTGTAATGTTACTGGAATGTGTAATGCTACTATAATGTGTAATGTTACTGTAATGTGTAATGTTACTTGAATGTTACTGGAATGTGTAATATTACTGTAATGTGTAATGTTACTGTAATCTGTAATTTTACTGGAATAGGTGAAGTAGCATCTCAAAACGTTACCGCCATCATCATTAATGACGTCATCATCACCTACTTACATTGACGAGTGTTGATTTATTGAAATGCTTGAATGGGCAGTTAAACATAATTACACACACGCACACACACAATCACACACACACAATCATACACACAATCACACACACAAACACCACAATCAGACACACACAATCATACACACAATCACACACACACACAATCACACACGCAAATACACACACACACACAAATTCGCTATGTGGTGTGTCAATAAAGAGGGAAACGAAATGTGCAATCTGACATGTGTATGTTTGCAATGCAACGTATGTATGTACTGTTATTGTATACGTACGAACATTAACATGTGCAGTGTGAACGCATGCGGGCATGTCACACGTGTGTGCACTCAATATTATTATTATTATTATTATTAGAAAATTTGTATAGCGCTAATTACAAACAAGATGTTTCTCAAAAGCACTGTCTAAAAAGAAAAAAAACCAGTTGAATTGCTACAATAGACCAAATCTTATAATGAAAACAAAAACATGCATGTAGGTATGTGTGTGTGTGTGTGTGTGTGTGTGACACAAATACACACACACATACACATCCTTTTTTCTCTCTCTCTGTTTCTGTGAATTTTGCAGTGAAAGTATGTGTGGTCTGCTCTCTATGTCTGTTTTACATGATTTCACATGTGTGACTGCATGTATGAGTGTGTATGTATGCGTGTGTGTGTGTGTGTCTGTGTGTACGTGTTTGCGTTTTGTAGAACGCGTGTTTATGTTTGGCATCCATTTAGAAAATCCATGAAAAAACTTTTATGAGGAGCATGTTGATCGATAGCTGTATGATCGGATGTTTGGTGCTCTGCGTTAATGCATTCTGTTTGTATGAAATGTATGTCTGCCTATACAAACATATATGCAAACATACAAGCAAACATACAAGCTGACAAACATACATACAAACAAACATACATACATTTATACAAAAATGCATATACAATTTGATGTGTTGTCAAACCTTGTTTGTTTGCGCTTAGGATTAAAATGTCTCGGTATTAACGTGGCACAATTAGACTTGTACTCTTGTGACTTTGCGTGTGTGTATGTATGTGTTTGTAGGTATGTTTGTGTGTGTGTGTGTGTATTTGAAAGTTCCAGCCTTTGTAGATGGGCGTGTATGTATCTCTTTATGTTGTATTTAAGATTGTATGTATGTATGTTCGTATTGTGTATATGATTGTATGTATGTATTAATGTATGTATCTCTGTATTGTATGTATGATAGTATATTGCATGTTTATGTGCGTGGTATGAAGGCGTGAACGAAAACATATGCCTTTGTTTGGGGTATGTGTGCGTGTGCGTGCGTGTGTGTGTACATGTGTGACATGTTTGTATACGCGGTGTGTTTGCGTGTTGTGTGTATTTGGCGTTGTGTGTATTGTATTTGATGCTTGTTTTGTGAGTAGCGGATTTTTTTCTCATTGTTGTTTCAAACAGGAAATAAAATTGCTGGTACATACACTCGAACGCACATATACACACATTCACATAAACAAAGACACATACACACGCACTTATATACACTCACACATACATGCACACACACACACACACACTCGAAAACACCTGCAAATAATTGCATACAAGAGTATTCTATTACACGCATCAACTAACACACAAACATACGTTTTGTATGTGATGTATGTATGTATGTTTGTATGCATATATGTGTATGCATATATGTGTATGTATGTATGTATGTATGTATGTATGTATGTATGTATGTATGTATGTATATGTATGCATGTATGTATGACGTGTGGAATGAAATACATTGTAAACACGTGGTGGCAATCTTTGTGACACACATCTTGGTTGATCGACCACCTGTTATATTGTTGTTGTCGTTGTTGCTGGTTGTTGTTGTTATATTGTTGTTGTTGTTGATGCTTTTATTGTTTTTGTTATTGCTATTGATGTTGCTGATTGATTTAGGAAGTTTTTCGTCAAAAACTAAATTTTTTTTATTAAAATAAAATTTAAAGCGAAAAACAAACGAACAAATTTATTTCTAATATTTACAAATTACAGAATTTAATGAAAATGTTTTCTTGTTCGTTCATTCATTCATTAATTAATTCATTCATTCATTCATTCATTCATTCATTCATTCATTCATTTATTCACCCATCTATTTACTCCTTCATTCAGTTATGTAACCATCTGTTATCTGAATGAGTTAAAACCGTTCCGTTCATTTACATTCGATAAGATTATTATTATTATTAATATTATTATTATTATTATTGTTGTTGTTGTTGTTGATGATGTTGGTAGTGGTGTTGTTGTTGTCATTTGAAGCGATTTTAGAGTTGATGTTGTTGATGTTGTTGTTATATTTAGTGTTGTTGTTGCTGATGATATTGTTGTTGGCGGTGTTAGTGTTAGCAACATTAATAGTAACAGTTGTTGTTATTGGTTGCGTTGTTGAAAACACAGTTGTTGTTGGAGCTACAATGTTGTTGTTGTTGCTGTAGTTGTGTTGTTGTTGTAATCTGTGCTGAACAAAGTGTTGTTGAATGAGGTTGTTGTTGATGCTGTTTATGTTGTTGTTGTTGTTGTTGTTGGCTGTTTGAAGCCAATTGTGGTTAGTTGCTTGAAGTTGTTGTTGTTGTTGATGTTGAAAGTGAAAAAACTGTTGTTGTTGTTGAAACTGCTGTTGTTGTCGATGTGAATTTGTATTTAAATTTCTCTCTTTCAGGACATTTTCTCGGCATATTTTAACATTTTGACGTTGTTGTTGCTGTTGATGATGTTGTTGATGTTGATGATGTTGTTGTTGTTGCTGTTGTTGTTGATGTTGAAAAAATAGCTGTTGTGCAAAAACCTTTGGCTCCATTTGAAGTTTCTCCAACGTCCCATCATCTGGTTTGGTAGAATTTTAAATAAATTATGCAGATTTACTTAATTGCATTTAAAAAAATTCTGTAAAATATTTTCAAAATTTGTTATTTAAAGTTACGATCAGATAAAAGCAGATAGAAACATCAGCACCACACACGCACATAGAAACAACATTTAGATCAATACCACAATCACACGTAGAATCAACAGTTACATCAACCACATTTACATCAAAAAGGCGGAGAACTACAAAATTTACGCACACGCCAACACATCAACAAAATTATCAACAACTACAACAAGCCAACCAACCAACGAGCCAGCCAACCAACCAGCCAGCCAACCAACCAGCCAGCCAACCAACCAACCAGCCAGCCAACCAACCAACCAACCAAACCATCCAAACAAACAAACAAATAGGATGAATTATTGAAAAGTCAAAAGGTCATAATGCATACAGAACCACATCAAAGGCCTTCATATAAGTATGATTAATATAGGATTTTGATAAGAAATTAATTTAATTTAATTATTATTATTAAATTATGTTATACGCATGTATGTATGTATGCTAACAGTTGAGTTAATAACTTTCCATTCGCGTTTATTGATATTTAACTTTTAACATCCATGTTTATTTTATTGTTTATTGTTGTGTGATGTTGTTGTAGTTGTGTGTTTTGGTAAATACCAATATTGTATATATGTATGTTTGTGTGTATGTGTTTTTATATGTGTGTGGGTGTGTGTATGTGTGTTTGTATGTGTGTATGCGATATATTTTTAAAAATAGCATTAATTTTCATTTATATCTGCTTGAACGAAGTTAGTAAGTTACACTGTTTTAAAATTTATGATTAAAGTTGGGGAGTTAGGTTAGTTTTTTTTTTTATGTAACAAGCGCGTCAATATGGTATGTTAGGGTATACTATTAACACACACACACGCACACACAATCACGCCCACACCCTGAAGCAATGTACATATTAATTTGAAAATTTGTGTCGAAAAAGTTATGATGAAGAGGAAGATGAATACAATAATGACGACGACGATGATGGAATGAAGAAAATAATGAATGAATAAAAGACTTGATTTATTCACTGGTGGTCTATAAATAACTGAAAATGTATCCTACTGCATTCCGTAATTATGATAATGAGGTACTATAAATAGAACAACAATGATGGTAATGATGATAATGATGTTGTTTCTAGCAATGATAATGATGATTATAATGTTAATGAATATAAAGGGAGGCTAAACATAAAGCTATGATGATGATGATGATGATGTTGATGATGATGTTGATGATGATAATGGCCTGGCGATACTGATGACGAT